ACAGAGCAAATCAAATAGCCATGTCAAGAAACTAAAAGGAGAGGACAAAATATAAAGAGTCAACAAAAGCACAGTAACATGACAATAATAAGTCAGTACATATCAGTTATAACTATCAATGTCAATGGCCTCAATTCACCAATCAAGAGAAATAGATTTGCAGAATGGATTAAGAAGCAAAATCCAACAATATGTTGTATCCAAGAAACAGACCTAGTGCAAAAAGAAGCCCATGGACCGAAAGTGAAAGGATGGAAGGCAATTCTCCATGTGACAGGAGCCCAGAAAAAAGCAGGGGTAGCAATCTTATTTACAGATAAAGCAAACTTCAAATCAAAACTGATTAAGAGAGACAAAGAAGGCCACTGCATTCTTATAAAGGGAACAATCCAAGAGGAAGAAAACGCAGTCATAAACACATATGCACCAAATATAAATGCCCCCAACTATATAAAACAAATATTAAGTAACATGAAAAACCAAATAACCACTAATACAATTGTAGTGGGGGATCTGAATACCCCACTATCACAAATAGTCAGATCATCTAGGCAAAAAATCAGCAATGAAACACTAGAACTGAATCAAGCTTTTGAATGCATGGATTTATTAGACGTCTAGAGAGTGTTCCACCCCACAAAATCAGAATATACATTCTTTTCAGCTGCACATGGGTCATTCTGCAAGATAGTTCACATACTAACTCTCAAAATAGGTTTGAATAAATGCAAAATAATTGAAGTTATTCCCTGTATATTATCAGATCACAGTGCAGTAAAGCTGGAGATCAATAGCATAAGAAACCGTAGGAACTTCACAAACACATGGAAATTGAGTAACACTCTCCTGAACAATCAATGGATAACAGAGGAAATTTAAAAAGTAATCATACAGTTTTTACAAATAAACAAAAATGGCAGTACAACATACTGGAATCTGTGGGACACAGTGAAAGCAGGTCTACATGGAAAATTCATAGCACTGAATGCCCACATTAGGAAAACAGAGCAAGCTCAAATAAACCACATAACAATGACTCGTAGACTCCTATGAAAACAAGAGCAAGAAAAACCCAAAGTTCAAACAAGAGAGGAAATTGTAAAGATTAGAGCAGAAATCAATGCAATGGAAACTAAGTAAAATACACAAAAAATAAATGAATCAAAGAGTTAGTTTTTTGAAAGAATAAATAAAATTGATAAACCCTTAGCAAACCTTATCAAAAAAGGAAAGAAAAGGCTCAGATTCATGCAATCAGGAATGAAAAAGGTGAAGTCACAACAGATCCCACCAAAATCCAGAAGATCATTAATACAAACTATGAGAACCTGTACTCTCACAAAATGGAAAACACAGAAGAAATGGACAGATTTCTAGATACTTATGAATTACCAAAGTTGAACAAAGAAGATAAAAAACAATTTAAATACCCCAATCAAAATCAGTGAAATTGAAAATGTAATTAAAAAGTTACCAACAAAGAAAAGCCCAGGTCCTGATGGATTCACTGCTAAATTTTACAAGAAATTTAGAGAAGATCTACTGCCATTACTCTTCAGACTTTTCAGTAAAATTGAAAGAGAAGCAATACTTCCGAATTCATTCCTGGAAGCAAATATCCCTTTGATTCCCAAACCTCGGAAAGATGTAACTGAAAAAGAAAACTACAGGCCGATCTCCTTAATGACTATAGATGCAAAAATCCTTAATAAGATACTAGCAAACAGAATACAGAGGATCATCAAGAAGATCATACATCCTGACCAAGTTGGATTTATTCCAGGGATGCAAGGATGGTTCAACATATATAAATCAATATATATAATACACTATATTAACAAAGTCAAGGACAAGAACCACATGATCCTCTCGATAGATGCAGAAAAAGCATTTGACAAAATTCAACACCCATTCATGATAAAAACTCTGCAAAAAATTGGAATAGATGGTTTATGTCTCAACTTAATAAAGGCTATCTATGAAAAAACCACAGCCAACATCATATTAAATGGCCAAAAACTGAAAACCTTCACGTTAAAATCAGAAACAAGACAAGGACGCCCACTATCATCACTGCTCTTCCATATAGTTCTGGAAACATTAGCCATAGCAATTAGACAAGAGAAGGAAATTAAATCAATAAAGATAGGAAAGGAAGAAGTTAAACTGTCATTATTTGCTGATGATATGATACTCTACATTGAAGACCCAAAAAACTCCACCAAAAGACTTCTCGACTTAATTGACACTTTTAGCAGAGTAGATCGATAAAAGGTCAAAATCCAAAAATCAATAGACTTCTTATACACAAACAACAGACCCACTGAGAAAGAAATTAGTGAAACAATTCCTTTCACAATAGCACCCAAAAAAAATGAAGTATCTGGGAATCAATCTAACAAAAGAAGCTAAAGACCTCTACACTGAAAAGTACAGCACTCGAAAAAAAGAGATCGAGGACGATATAAGAAAATGGAAAGATGTCCCCTGCTCCTGGGTGGGAAGAATCCACATAGTGAAAATGGCCATACTACCAAAACTGCTATACAGATTCAAGGCAATACCAATTGAAATCCCAACACAATACTTCACAGAACTAGAAAGAAGAATCCAAAAATTCATTTGGAACCATAAGAGACTTAGAATAGCAAAAGTCATCCTAGGCAACAGACACATGGCAGCGGGTATAACAATTCCCAATTTGAAACTATACAACAAAGCCACTGTGATAAAAACAGCATGGTGCTGGCAAAGAAACAGACCTGAGAATCAGTGGAACAGATTGAAAGACACAAAAACAACTCCAGATGCACTCAGCTACCTCATCTTTGACAGAGGAGCTGACAGTCCCCAGTGGAGGAAAGATAGCCAGTTTGATAAATTGTGTTGGAAAAACTGGATCTCAACCTGCAAAAAATTAAAACTAGACCCTTATCTGTCACCACGCACTAAATTAAAATCCAAGTGGACTAAAGATCTAAATATAAAAAAGAAACACTAAACTTGCTTGAAGATAAGTTAGGCAAAACTCTGGAGGACATTGGCATAGGAAAAAACTTTATGAAGAAATCCTCAGTAGCATGGGAACCTGCAGAACGAATCAACAACTGGGATCTCATCTTATTAAAAAGCTTATATACTGCAAAAGGAACCATCAACACAACTAAGAGACAACCTACAATGTGGGAAAAATTTTTTACTAACTGCTACTCAGACAAACGACTATTATCTAAAATATATAAAGAACTCAAAACAACCAGTGCCCCCACATATAAAGACCCAATTCTAAAATGGGCATCTGAAATGAACAGACAATTCTCAGACAAAGAAATAAAAGCAGCAAGTAAATATATGAAAAAATGCTCTGCATCACTGGTCATTCGAGAGATGTGGATGAAAACAACTCTGAGATTTCACCTCACACAACAAAGATTAGCTGCTATCAAGAAATGACACAGCAACAAATGTGGGCTTGGATGTGGGGAGAAAGGAACCCTTCTCCATTGTTGGCGGGAGTGCAGACCGGTGCAACCACTATGGAAGTCAATATGGAGATACCTCAAAGAACTAGGATTGGAGGTTCCATTTCACCCAGCCATGCCTCTCTTGGGTATCTTCCCAAAAGAATTGAAAGAATCATATCACTGTGGCATATGCACACCTACATTTGTAGTGTCATTATACCACAGTGATGTATGCGCAAACATGTTTATAGCAGCACAGTTTGTAATAGCTAAAACTTGGAAACAGCCCATCTGCCCATCAGTTGGAAATTGGATAAAGATGTGGTTTTTCTATAACATGGAATACTACTCAGCCATAAAGAATGGCTGAGGTAAATGAGTGCAGTCTGAGGATATACTTCTAAGTGAAATAAATAAGGGTCACATGTGTAAATACCAAATAGTTTCTCTGGTGTGAAAAACTAAAATAGTACTCAAGATCCTAATGGGACAATTAGCAATGTGAAATAGGAAGAAAAGGACCAAAGCTATAGGGAGAGTGAGAAGGATAGGGAAGGGGGAATAAGAGAAAAGGAAAAAAATATGAGAAAATGTAAAAATGGAATTAAAGTCTTTGAAGTGGGGAGAGGAGGAGAGGGGAGGGTGAAGGGAGGGTAGGAACAAGGGGAAAAAATGAGAACACAAGACCTGGCATGTAAAAGTACAAGATCCCAGTAATGAATGTAACTGTACTGTCTACCTAGAATGTACCAATAAATTCAATTTAAAATAAAAAAAAATGTTTATAGTTACTTTAAGGAACTAATAGATTTTAACTTTTTAGCGCATGTACCATACATAATGTTTCTGTTCACCATGGGAAGTTGGCACTTGTACATAGCAAATGTTAATTCTACTTTTCCATTTCCCTCCCCTTCATGCCCCTCCTACTTTCCTTCCCTCCATCTCTGGTTTTCCTTTTCCATTTGCAAAAATCTGTCTCCATTTCATATTATCTACCTTTAATTTATCTATATAAAGTGTTTTTCATATAAGAGAAACTGTACAATATGTAAGTTTGTGTCTGATTTATTTTACTTATCATATCACCCTGAACAGATCTGACCTCGTCCTTTTGATTATTTTCAAACTTAAATTATACAGTAGAAGACAGTACAAGTGATTGACTCCCTCAAGTAGTACTGCTGCAATGAATACTACATTTACACAAATGCTTCAGCAAAAGAGACAAATCTTTATTTTGTTTCCACATTAGGATGGATTAAATTTAGCCATCAAAGGAGTTTCACTTTTTGTATCTTGCAATTACAGTCTTTTTTCACATAAAGATTAGCAGTTTATAGTAAATGAAAATCAAAAGATGACAGTATCATTTAAAATTTGGCTCAATAGATACTTGCTTGGAATTAAATATTTTCTTCACCGATATATAGAAATACAATAAAATTGAAGAATAGTCTTTTTTGATTTTACTTTTCTATTAGACTATTTCATTTTAGTCATCCTTCATGTCAATTTTATGTACAGTAGAAATTTTTAAGTGTTAATATTGTCTAATGTACAAGATTGGCAATTTTTTGTATTTTCTAATGATATAAACAGGAAGTTGCAGAATATATATAAAGGAAAGCTCAAAGGTATGCTATCCAACTTCATTATCACACGTTCTTCATCATTTTTTAAGGTAAGTATTTTATAACCAGTTGTTTTGCTGAAACTTAGTCTTCCAGTAACATCAAAAGATACCAGAGTTAATCTAAATGCAATATTTCTTAGAGGTTGTAAGGTGGAATAAACTTCACGCAGCTGATTGCAAGTATTTTGCTTGAAAATTATGCAATGGCTAGTAAAAATGACATGTAAAGGAAAGCCAAAGTTGTAACCTGACCACTTCCAGATATATCTACCATCTTTGATAATCTTTTTACCACACCGCATGCTGTATCTTTCAAATTCTGTTTCATTGATGTCTCGAGGCCCAATTTCCCCATATCGTCTTGCCTTGAGAAAAGTAAACCATTGTTGTTTGTAAACAGATGATAACCACTCTGATGGTATGAGAAAATCTTGTTCAATAACCCTTATAGCAGACAGGCCACAGAAGATATGCTGAAACCTCAAATTTTTAAACACTGGTTTAAATGTTATTCCTTCTTCTGTGTCAAGAAAAGTGATATTACCAATACATTCTCTGTTCCGGGAAAACCAGTTGTTAGCATTAGCTAAAAGTTCTTTCATTGAGCCTTTCCAAGCTGGGTTAAGGTGAAGGAACATCCATTGTTTTAGCATGGTGTATATGTCTATTTCCACTTGCATTACAAGTAAGTCAGGAGAAGAGATGAGCAAATTCATTAGCTCTAGTCCAATTTCTTTGTAAAGTTCAACACATGGGTGTGTCATCAAATTGTGAAGAAGCCATTCAAAGCATTCTGCCCTTACAGAATCTAACCCATATGTTTCTGCTGCTGCAAAATAACCACATACAGTTGTCGCATTAATTGTTGTCTTCATGGTCTCTATACATTGCTTTATTAAATTTTCTACCTGAAGTAGGAATGCTGTTGCCAAAACATTTGGAACTTTAAAAGGCTCCATGAAGATACACTCATCCCTGTACAAGGAACCTAATACAAAGTGCAAGGATTGGACATCTATATTCTTGTCATTTATATCAAGTTCAATCATATTTTTGTGTAATTCCTTTGAAGAACCTCCAAACATATTAGCAAAGTAACCTGAATGACATAAATATATTTTATGCAAACACCATACTTTACCCAGAGCAGAGATTTTAATGTCACTGTTTTCCCCATTCAAAAACAATTTTTCGTAAGCATACTCGGATGTAATTTTAACTCTTTTCCCATCGCTTGTACTGAGAAATTCCTGTGGATACTCTTCTTGGTTCTCAGACCTGTGGCTGTCACATGTTGGGCGCAAATCGTGCTCACTGCTCTCCTTGCGCTTGTGACTGCCAGAAATATGACTACTGGGCCTTGCGGAGTATTCTTGCTGCAGTAGATCTACTGAATCAGGTTCCCAGCATCTCAGGACGCGGCTGCCTATGAGTCCCATAGGTGAAACCTTCCGGAATTCCTCAAAGAGACTCTTGTAGTAGCTTTCCTATCACGGCATTTCCCCAGCCTGACAACACTGCCTAGGCGCTAGACTCATTGGAACACTTGGGGGCAGCTGCAAACGTCACAAATGAAGCCCTTCCTTCATTCCTCATTGGCCACCCTGTCTCTCATAATCTGTTGCCCCGCCCACTGAAAACAGTACGTTTCCATTGAGTCAGGTCCCTTACTTGAGGATGCAAATCTCTGAGAAATTATTTTCTTTTACATTCAATGCTTTTTCTCAAGAAATCAAAATGTTTTCAGATGAGATCTTGTCATGTTTCTCAGGCTGGCCTCAAACTTACAAACCTTCTGCCACAGCCTCCCAAGTTGAGTTTTTTGCTTTTTGTAATGGCAATGACCAAGCCAAAGCATTTTTATCAACAGTAAATATTGTTCATCTTCGTGATTTTATTGCTAGGATATACTAGAATCTTACTTTCTCAATTATCAGTATTGAATATAAATATTTACCACAGCTTTTAGCCATTTAAATGGTGAACAGTTATGCCTTATTGTTTTATGAAGTATCTTTGACTACTATAGAAGAAAAATATTAATTTCATACAGATATATATATATATATATATGAGCTTCTCCTGTAAGAGAAACATTCAGGTATTTAATCCTGTGTCTGACTTATTTCAATTACCTTTATATTCTCCAGTTGCATCCATTTGCCTATGAATGCCTCAAGTTTATCTTTATTTAGAAAGAGTAGTACTCCTTTATATGGAAGTATATTTTTCTTTCATATATTATCTATTTTGTTGTTTCAGAAACATTTTAATGTATATTGTAATTTAATTTACTTATTCTAATAGTTTTACTTAGTTCATTGAAAAGAAATTTTCTGCTATTATCTGCTTATTATTTCTTTTCCACAGCCTTCTTTATGTCTTGTACTCTGAGTACCTCCATTTAAGATGATAAAGTATTAAGATACTTGCATGTCCATTTTTATTGCAGCACAATTAGTAATAATAAAGATATGGAATGAAAATAAATGCCCATTAATGGATGAGTGAATAAAAAATACACAATATCCCAATGATAAATGTAACTTTACTGTATACTTAAAAAGTATGAATAAACTCGATGAGAATAAATTACAGGAATAAAAGAGGCCAATTTGATGTTAAATGACGTCTTCAAAATAAACTTAAAGAAATAAATTAAATGGACCAATGAAACTGAAGAATAATTAATGTGTAAAGAATGATGAAATCATGTTATCTGCAGAAAAATGGATGGAGTTGGAGAACATCATGTTCAGGGAATATTTAATTTTTATGGGATTATTTGATGTGAAGAGATTTTAATTCTTAAAAACCAATCAGGGCTTTCTATTGTAGATCATTTCTTGTCTGCATAAAAGCTGCATCTTAACTGAAATCAAAAAATATTCTGTTATATGTCCTTGCTGAACTTTAAAGTTATAATTTAACTATTTTTTAAACCTTAAGATTGAAATGTTCTGTATTTAGCAATTCTCATGTGGGAAGGGAGAGTATTATAAACATTTGCGAACATATTATAACTCAAATTTCTCAAATTTAAAAAATACACAACTGTACAAGCAAGTATAGACAAAATACTGAAAATAATAAAAAAATTTTTACCCTGCACTGTCTTTGGGCATTGACATTGTGAGCAGTGTGAAGTTGAAGTCCATACAAGATTTGTGCATGATGTTTCTTTTTTTTTTTTATTTTCCTTAGCTGTATTTTGTGTGAATTTTCTTTTCTCTTGATCTGGAGAAAGATCACTTGCATCTTCACAAACGAAGAAATCCAACTTGCTTACAAAAAGGTAGGACTAATGTGCATAGACAAAGTCCATCAAATAAATGTCCAAGATTATTTTTTACAGAATGATACATGTCCATTTCTGTCACTGTCAGAAGCACAGGAACTAAAGCAGCATTTGACAGGTGTTCAACAAATGCTTATAGAATCAGTAAACATATATACAACATCAATTATCAAATAGTGTGGGTTTTGTTGTTTTTATTTATATTTTCTTGAATTAGTATTATTTTCAACTGACAAATCACAACTATACTCCATTATGAAATAAATCCTGATTTCTAGTTATATGTATACAATGTGGAATAATCAAGTCAATTAACATATCCATAGCCTTGTCTCACAAATTTCTTAAAATCTTAACTTAGTATACCATACTATCACTTTTGCAACTTACTCATTGTTATTTTGGTATATGTGCTACTGAAGCACAACTCATTGTTATTTTTAAATACATGTGATACTATTTTTGACATTTTCCTTTCAAACATAAGGCTGTATGTACCTTGCTTATTAGAAGTAGAATCCATAATTTACAGAGTTCTTAACATTCTTTTCATCTCTATACATCCTAAAAAGTGTATTTAGATGTTTTAACTCATCTAAGATACATTGCCCTTCTCAGGGTTGCATGTCAGTTGCTTCTGTATCTCTGATTTTGGCTATACCTAAATAGACTTCCTTAGATTTAGACCTACTTTTTTGATTCCAAATAAGTATGTATCAGAATAACTTGTGAGAAGAGTAATTATCTACTACACTAAATATTATTAGGAGAAACCTTTCCCCAAACGTTAGTACAAATATTCCTAGTTTAACAACTGTTTTGACTTGCAAGCCCAGCTGCTTGGGCCACCCCCATTGCTACAGTTTTGTACATCTTGTTTATAGAGCCACAATGTCATTTTATGTATAAATAGTTTATAAAGTGCCTTGTTTATACAGTACCATAATGTTTGCTGATTGCACTGAGCAATACAGTACTGCAGTCTTATGTTCTCTGATGTAGTACAGTACTATGCATAAGAATTATGGAAATCAAAGCAAGTTGGAGTATTTTTTGACCATCTCTTTGTTTTAAAAATTGTAATATATGTACTCATTTTTGACCAATCAATTTAATGACTTTGTCACAGCACCTTAAGTCTGTTGTTAAAGGAGGAATGTATTACTACTTTTCACTCATAGCACAACCAAAAGTCACTCCATTGTTATCAGTCTGAAGAGTCACTGATTTCTGTCATGTTTCTGGATTCAAGTCCTTCTTCACTAAACTATAGGTTAAAATCTTAAACAGTTGAACTATGTATTATCTTCTAAACAGGAGCAAAGAGAAAGGAACAATCTACAAAAACTAATGTAGTGACAGAAACCTTGAAAAGAAGGTAAAACCTAATTATGAGATCAAAAAGTAGGTCTAATTTTGAGGAAAATAGAGAGAGGGAAATAAAGAAATACTTTAATGGGAATGAAAGGTGGGATCACACCCAAGAAGGAAAGTTATTCATTGTAACTGACTATAAATGCAAGCAGTGTACATTTCTATGATCAAGATTGATGAAACATAAGCTGTTGAAGGGGGGCAGGGGAGTAGGGAAAAAATAAGTTCCAAGGTAGATTATGTAAAGGTGCAAATTTCCAATGATGAATGCCACTATATTATATACCTTAAATGTATCAATAAAATTAATTAAATTAAATTAATTAAAATGAAGTTTAAAATCTGTGAAATATAGTTATTGATATGAATATGTGAATTTTTTATGTAATAGTGAAAATTGTAATTTTATGAAATAAATTATATATGTGTACAAAAATATAACAAACTTACAGGTAAATATATAAATAATATATGGCTTTCATAGTCAACAAAAGACTGAGCTTTCTGAAAAATAAAATTAAGGCAGTAAATCACAGACTGTACCTCCCACACCTCAGCTTCTCCAGAATCTCATCAGTCATATGAACTACAAATTTTCTTAAAACTTTTTTTAGCTTAGCATATTTTAAGCAATAACTATTTCTGCCATTTGCTTCCATAACTTGCTTTAATCAGCTTATTTTGAATAATTATTGAACTCTCTCATTAACTAATGAGACCATGTGTTATTATTAACAGTTTCCTTGTTGTCGTGTTTTTAAATGTTTCATTTGAAAATGGTTTGAAGAAAGCCAGGCTTGGTGGTGCATGCCTGTCATCCCAGCACTCAGGAGGCTGAGACAGGAGGATCGTTGTGAGTTTGAGACCAGTCTGGGCTACATAGGGAGTTCCAGGTCAGTCTCAACTACATAGTGAGACCCTGTCTCAACACATAAATAAATAAATAAATAAATAAATAAATAAATAAATAAATAAATAAGTGAATGAATGAATGAATGATCTGGAGAAAAACATAGGCTCAAATATGTGGTTGGGTTAATCTTTCTGGAAATGGCTTGCTGATTACTTGATCATGAAAAATTAAAATAATCCAACATATTTCACTCCATCTTGATATTGAAATTGTCTATAATTCACTCCTTTTCTAAGAATGTGCATATTGGATATGTTGAGGCAGGAGGAGAAGTGACAACAAGGTTTAGAAAGAAAATGTTTATTATGCTCATAGTCCGAGATGGGGGTGACTACTTCATGCCAGGAAAGTTTACAGGGGAAATACTAGGTTTAAATTAAGCAGAAAAGGAAAAATCTATACCAGGTTCTTTACTGGAGTTTCTGTGAGAAGATACAAGGTAGGGCATTGTACACATTTTAGAATATTAACTAATTTGAAAAGTTTTGGTGGGCTTGAAATGTAGAGGTTGTCTCTAATTTGTTGGTACTTAATTGTGGATTGATTCAGAGAGAAAACCAAAGGTTTGGTTATAAGAAATAAATAGTAAGTGGTTGGGGCTACAGACTTAGAATTGGTTGTTTTGAATAGGAGCCATATTCATCCAGTCTAGAACTGTGCTATCTTTGAGAAAATTGTAGACCTGGGAAGGGCAATATATCTCTAGGTTTGTAAAGTGCTCAGATGTGGGAGCATCAAGAATACAGAAAATAAGAAAATATATCTAATGTATTTGGTCTTTTGATGAAGGGATGCCAAATAAAAATAATGTAGAATATAGCAAAACTAACAAATTCCTAATAAATTTTTTATTTCCTTAATGTTTATTTAATTTCTTCTTAAATGTCACTTGTTTACTGGGTAAATGCAAACATAAATGGTATATATTAATGAAATACGATGTAACATTTCATCACATGTATATTACACAATGTTTAAATCATGTTAACATATTTCTTTCCTCAAAAATACAAAATTTCTTTATGGCAAAAACTGTAAAACTTGTTTCTTTAACTTTTTAACATATACAATGTATAATTGTTATTTATTGTCACCCTATTGTGCAATAGCACGC